CTACTTAGTTTAATTAATAATTCTAGATTCTACTAACTCGCTCACAGGTTCCGATAGAGGTCTTTTTATTTTTGCACGCGGACTTACGATTTTAAAGCCGCTGTTCAGTTATCTGTCAGCGAAGTCTTGAACATTTCATCTTCGAAGATAAATATTTCTGCTGTCATTTGTGGGTCTATTATTGTGGACATGGCAATAGAAAAAGTAAACAATGAGAATATAACTCAGAAATTAATGGATGCTGTGAATAACAACCAACTAAATATTAGTTATAATAATGAAACATTGGCAGTAACCTCAGTGAACAGATTAACTACAAAACCAATCACACCCACGTTAACTACATTATCAGTGTCAAGAAATTCTTTGACAAGCAATCCTATGTCATCAACCACCATTGTAACTGAAACATTGTCAGGTTCTCCTCAAAGTGAAACCACGTCACAAATGTTGGCAAAATCGTCCACGTTGCCTGTCAAGTCTGACAGCGACACAGCGTCCGCAATGAGTACACGCGCTATAAACGCGTCGATATTTCTCAATACGACCATGTTTTCGTCTGCAGTCATGCAAACCGTGTCACCCACTGAAAAAATGACCACGAGCCTCGAAACTCATGTAAGAACAACGCCTGTGGTAAATATGACCAGCTCGATGAAAGGTATATCATCTTCCCCTGCAATTTCCACGATGACACATCCCTCAAGTTCTCCAGTAATAACGCCTGTTCCTCCTGAAATAGTCTTCGTTCGTATTACTATAGATGCGAATTGCAGCCAAGTACCAAACCACCAGTCCGCCGATTTTAAAGCCGCTGTTCAGTTATCTGTCAGCGAAGTCTTGGACATTTCATCTTCGAAGATAAATATTTCTGCTGTCACTTGTGGATCTATTAATGACATGACATGACATGGAGGTGATTCAAACAGCGCTGTCTTCACAGTTCACATCGCGGGAAATGCAAATTATGCCAATAATCTCACACCAAAAGCTTTCGATCAGAATTCTTTCGTGCACCTTTTCGTTAAATGAAACACGTTTACATTCGTTCATTATACAGAGAAGATCGTGGAGTCCTGTAGAAGCCATGTCTTTCTCCTTGGAACGAGCGGCGATTAAAATTTACCGACTATTCAATTCAACGAGGAGCCGACACGACAATAACAAGCCAGCATCGCTCTGAAGTCGATGCGGCTATTGCAAACAGTAGCATTTTGCCTCATTCTGATTGGATTGCTTCGTCTGACCGTAGCAAACCAATCAGCACGCCGTATTTGCGAATTTTTGCAACGGTCAGTTTCAATCTGACCACTGCAAAAATTTCCAAATACAGCGCTATGATTGGTTTGCTACGGTTAGACGAAGCAAGCCAATCACAATGAAGCAAATGCTACGACTTCAGAACGATGTGATATAGTACTAGTGCAAAACCCGCAAATACAGGCAGTATTTCGGGCGGAAATGTGAGAAAAACCCGAATTTAATTATCCAAAATGAAATAAAAACTCGATAAAATTGTATCAATATGATTTAGTAAATTTTAAAAAAATTTCACCAAGTTTCAATGAAAAATTGAAAATAACCGCAATTAAAAATAGTATAACGTTTTAGTTTTTAATAACTTTAAAAAAGGTACAACCTGGAAAAATATATCTCAGGGAAAATCTGACCGTAGCATATGCTACGGTTGCAACGGTCTAAATCCGCCCCTGACATGGTTACAAACAAAATGAAATATCTCAAGAACTAAGCATGGGAACAAAAATCTTCAAAACAAGTTACCATACAGTTTTAAGAGCATTTTCGTTTAAGAGAATAAAAATTTTGATGACAGTGCCACTTTAAACAGCAGTTTGTTGCAGTGCGCCCTGCACCACTGGTTAACAATAATAACAACATCTGGTAATTGGTTAATATACTAACTAAACATGCATATATTTCGATTTCGATCGATTACATCAGACAGCAAGGAATTTGAGACGATCTCGTTCACGGATTTGTTTTTTAATTGACGATTCGCCTTATTACGTTTTCGTAGCGCTTTGCATTGTGGTTACAGTGGTATCACTGATATTCAAGATGGCTTATTTTTTGTCCTGACCCCTGCAAGAACTTTTAAAAAAAGCTAGGGTCAGGTGCGCGATAGCCAACAGCAAAATATTCGCGAAAACATTCGATATTTTCATTCGAGGCCGCTATTTTTATCAGTGATACCACTATAACCACAATGCAAAGCGCTACGAAAACGTAATAAGGGGAATCGTCTATTGCATTTGTCAGCCAAGGAATATCTGGCTTACTTTTGACGCTCTTTTCTCTAATTGGAACATGCTTGTCTAGAACTGGCAAAAAATGTTTTCCATGTTTCCCACATCGGCACATCCTGCCAACGCAGAAGTTAATACCAGATTCCCCTTATTACGTTTCGTAGCGCTTTGCATTGTGGTTATAGTGGTATCACTGATATTCAAGATGGCTTATTTTTGTCCTGACCCGTGCAAGAACTTTTAAAACAAGCTAGGGGTCAGGTACGCGATAGCCAACAGCTAAATATTCGCAAAATCATTCAATATTTTCATTCGAGACCACTATCTTTATCAGTGATACCACTATAACCACAATGCAAAGCGCTACGAAAACGTACGTAATAAGGGGAACAGGGACGCCGGAACGATGTGAAGGCAAGGGGGGGGGCAGAATTTCGTGAAAGGGCACTTTTGAATTGATATATACTAAGAGATCTTTGCGAAACATCGGGAGTTGAACTTCACCTAATCATGTTTTCTATTGATTGGATGATAGGGTATGAGGGGTTCTCCGCCAGGCGATTGTGCTATTCTTGAAGCTCGATGACTGCATTTCTTGCGTTTTCTGAAGCAAATTCGTAAAAGAATTGCACTAACATTTCTGACAATTCGCTATTTCGCCAAGACAATCCTTTAAATTGAAAGGGCACCTTTGCCCCCCTTGCCCCTCATGGTAAAGGGCAACGGGGACGGCTGCCCCTCCTGCCCCCCCCCCAGTTCCGGCGTCCCTGAAGGGGAATCATCAATTGTCCAACAGTTCCCATTTCCGGTTCATTGTCACGTGTGTACTCGCCAGAGAAACCAATAGCTCAGAATCTACATCAGTCGACGATAATTTTAATAAACACGACATCATCCTTGATGTACTGACGATTATTCAAGCTATCAAGAGGCATAAAGAGCGGGGAACCCGAAGCGATATTCATATCAGACTTTGGACGTTGAAAAGATGAACTTTGAGGATCCGAATTAAACGCATCGATCATGTGATCTCCATTGCCTTGATCCAACAGCATCATCGTGATCTTCTTTTGAAATGGCCAGCTTTGAAGAGCATCGTAGTCGCCTCGCATCACAACAAAAAACAACGACAAATGCGATCCCTTTCCAAAACCATCCCCATTCAAATACATTTTGGCACACATCTTGTAACCATACTGAGCGCTGTAGAAAGGTTGACTGTACAAGGCCGTCTTCACTCCATTAATAGCATCTTCCCGTTTTCTCTGATAACTTTCAATCTTCCAGAGTAAAGTGCCATTATAACTGTGGATAGCTTGTTGTGCACGCGGACCTCTTTGAGAATCCAAATCGGTAATTTTAACTGTATTCAAAGCAAGAGACTCGTCCATTTGATCCATCCTACTTCGAAAACGATCAATAATTGAGATCTGATCTCTCACTTCTCCTTCTAAACTCATAGTCCGTTCACGTAAGTTGCCGCTTTCAGTAGTATGGTCTCTAATTTTACTTTGTAGCTCATGCACTTCATTTCTAATCCTTGTATCACCCTCACCACTGGATTCCAAGTTTTCAATCCGTCTTTCCAAGCCAGTCAACTTCCCGACAACCATGACGAATTTCTCAGCTAAGCCAGAGCGAACCTCAGTGATGTCGTCGCGAATTCTCTGCGACATCCCAGTATATTCTGGACGTGGGATGAAGTCGTTTAGTTGAGAAGCAACGGCAAGAGTATACCGCAGTAGTTGTGCACCATGATCTATCAATCCATCATTCAAATGTTGGCGCAGTTCCTTTCGCTTCAAAGTCTACAGATTGTATCAAAGATGAATAGCAAATTATACAGGGTATCTAAAGAAAACGCTACGGAAATTCAAAAGGCTGTCGTGCATCATAAACGTGGCTAAACAATTCAATTTTTAGATAGCACGAAAGAACAGTTATTTAGCTTTTCAATGATACTCTTTTTAAATCGTAACGATGAGAGCACCGTAGGGAATTGCATGGAAAACGAAACATAAACAATTCCCAAGAGGGAATTAAAATTGAATTAAAATTGAATTATCTAAAATAAGCTCAACTCGTCAATCTTCGTCTTAGTGAGACCATAAGAACGTCCATTATTGCATTAAACATGGTTCAGGGAACAGAGAACATTCGTAATCAAAATATTTTACGAAACAAGTACCTTGCAGCAGGGTCGCGTTGCTTTAGGATTGACTAACTTTGCATAATTAATGTATTTTCAATTCCCAACGGTGGAAGAATGTGTTTTCGACCGACAATTTTTATTTGACGAATATGTGGCCATTTCTCATCGTTACGGTTTACGAAAGGTATCATAGAAAAGCTAAATAACTGTTCTTTCATTCTATGTAAAAATTGAATTGTTTAGTTAAGTTGGTGATGCACAACAAGCCTGTTGACTTTTCATATCATTTTTTTTAGACACCCTGTAGAAGACTATTGTGCAGCAGTTGAGCATTTGCTCACATCTTGACATCTTGTAGCAAGTCTGCCAACAAGTTGTGCTCCCTCTGGTTGTCCCAAGTTATCAACAACAAGTATGGAACAACTTTTTAACAACTTGTAACAACATGGTTGACATTATTAGATTCATTATTAGGTCCGATACAGTCATGATATAAGAATATTGTCAACCTTGTAACATTCTTCTTATATCATGATTCATGACTTGAACAACCAAGTAACAAGTCTGGTAATGCCATCAAGCTAGCTTGTTCCAAGTTGTTAACAGCTTTTTCCAAACTTGTTCCAACAACTGGGAACAAGCAGTGCGAACACAACTTGTAAACAGATTTCTCGCACCTTGTTTGCAGGACTACAAGAAGTTGTGCGTTTTTACGTGCGTATCTTTTCGGAATATATTTTTTTGACACTTACGCCCGTATTCTAAAAGCTCACTCACACTCAATGAGTGGAGGTTCAATCTAAGCTTCTCTTGAGTGTCAATGCTGTTTTTGAATAGCTGAAGGGTGAGTAGTCACATAGTCAGGTACAGCACTAACCCTCCAGCTATTCAAAAACATCATTGACACTCAAGAGAAGCTCATGCAGACTGTTCAATCTCCACTCTTTGAGTGTGAGTGTGAGTGAGCTTTTAAAATATGGGCGTAAGTTTTAACTATCGGATACAACAGCGAACAATTTTTCATTACTCGTAATACTTGATGTAATCGGACACTGAAAAGCCCCAATGGGCAGTGAGCTGAATAATAATAATGTCAGGTAGTGTACTATTCCTGTTCATCAGTTTATGGCGAAGTTTGAAATGTGACATTTTACACGCATTCATTCGAGTACACACGCCAGGATAAGAATCGCATACGACTAGTCGTATCGTGTAGATGGACCTTAAGGTAGGGGACTGGAAGCTTGCCTTTTGAAGCCTCAGAAGATCATTTTCCATTTTTTTTGAGAGGAATTATTATCAAAGTTGTGAAGTTAAAAATTCAAGATTTTGTAATGCACTTTAAAACTTTTCACAAAACAGCGCAATTACAAGTATGAATGGATTGGTTTTGTTCCCAGAAAACTTAAAATAAATTTATACCACTAACACTTCAGACTGGCCAGAGGCCTACTAAGGGCCATCCAACTAGACTAGAGAAGTAGAGTTCTGAGGGAACTGGTGCGGGTTAAATGAGGTAAATCTTATTTATTTGTACTACGTATCCCTTTCTGCCCATTGCTATCATCACAGTACGCGTAAAAACCTGAACTAAGCTTATACTGGATAGCTCTAATAAGGAAAAAACACATCCTATATTGGTGTAAAGTTACAACAGGACTGTAACAAAATTATCGGGAGAAAAACTGCGTGAGGGCCCCCTATACCTCTTCAAAATATGCTTTCACGTAAAAATATTTTGCCTTTTCATGAGTCACAGGATTAAGAAAATCATCGATCACGTTTCACGGCTAAGTAAAATAAGCCCTTCACGCAAAACGTATAGGGGGCCCGATCACGTTTCACGGCTAAGTAAAATAAGCCCTTCACGCTTCACGCAAAAAGTATAGGGGGCCCTCCTGCGTGTGTCACCGAATACAGCAAGTAACTATTTATTACCTTATCATGGTTGCATCCCACATCTTGATACTCGCAAGTCGCCGGAGCCTCATAGCAATCGCATCTCTCGTGTCTTTCAATGTCTTTTCTCAAGACATCTTCCTTACAGTATCTGCAAGTCACGGGCGCACCTTCACAGATCGTATCAACATGTTCCTAGATGAACAGCGAGTAAAACTGAGTATACCGTACTGGCTCAAGGATAATTACGAGGTTTGAGGTATATAATTACATAAGACGACGTAACTTGCTGGATTGTTCGAACTGTAGTGTCAAAAGTTACTTACCTTCATCGAGGCAAAGGTGGCATCTTTCCCACAATAATCACACTTCACATTCCGATATTCACATTCACTTTTCAAGTGTTCGGCCAGGTGAGAGCGTTGGAAATTCATCTTGCATTGTGTATGGATACAGTTTATCAAAGCATGTTCACAAACAGCAGAATGTCCCTAAATAACAGAGAAATTGTTCCATTATAAGTTGGATTGTCTTAATTTCATTTGTTGCTGCTATGTGCAGAATGAGAGTCAATCTGGGGCGTAGGAACCGGGGAGCACGTGCCCCCCCCCAATTTTTTCAAAGGACTAAAAGTGCCCTTTTTTGTGATGAAAGGTGCCCTTTTTTGTACAAGCTAATATGGCTGTACTAAATACTAAATTAACATCAAAGGTGCCCTTTTTGTTTGGAAATTTCCAAGTTTTTTTTAAAAATTCAAGAATCAATAACAACTTTCTGTCAAACGGTTTTCTCGTCTTTCTCCCTCTCTCCTTCTACCACCCCAAGTCCCCAACTCACCTCGAGTGCTTCATAAGTGCCATGCCAAGCACAGCCTTGGTTGGTACAATGCAAACATAATCCATTGAGCTCACGTTTAGTGAAAGTATCTGGAAACACCTGAAAGAGATTAATATCAAACCTTTTAAGCTCATGGTTCGAGTGATTGTTTTCAAATCCAGCTAACACATGTTTATGACAGCTGCAATAAAATTAATTTGGACGGATAACCTGATGGCAGAGATTGATGGGAAATCAGTTTCAATGATCCAGTGATTTGTCCAAACAACCTACCACTCCCCCAGCCGAATGTTGAGCTTGTGTCGTGTATCGGTGCATGATACATTACCAAAAGTTATTGCGGGGGATGTGCACAACATTGAACTAGGCGGGAAGAATATACAATTACTTTATGGTTTCCGTGTTTGGATGGCCTGATCCAAACACGCGGGAATGTTGCGAGAGTTAAGAAAAGCGCGCCAACACGAGCGAAAGGCGAGTGATTTTGCGCGCTTTTCTTAACTCGAATGTTGCCATAAAGTAATTGTTTTCTAAGATAACAACTTTCCGTATTAATTTAAAATTTCACTTTAAAAAAAACTTTCACTTTAAATTTCCGTGTTTGGATGGCCTGATCCAAAAACAGGTTTCGACCAATCAGAGCACGCGTTATATAGATGTTATTTCATAAAAGGTGGTGAAATTGGTTTTGTCAATGTACATCAACTTTGCAATGTTGACAGAAGTGGTCTCGAGCGTTACGTCCACGATTGTAATTACCACAGCTGATACTGATGTAAGCCAGACTGCAGAGTTGGGCACTTCTCAACGAGATCTCGGGTGCGCAAAGTCAGCAAGTCCAAGTGCGGGTGCGCAAATATATCGTGAGGTGCGCACCTGAGGTCCTGAGTGCGCACTCAGGTGCGCTTTCAGTACTCGGTTGAGTCTCTCATGTGTTACAAAGTATTTTTTGCCAAACTGACTTATGAAATTATTCGATATATATTCATTGGCAACGTTGCGAAATAAAGAAGTGGGTACAAAATACGAAAATGAAAAATGGCCACTAATTATCCCTGTTAATCTCCTAACTGCACGACACGTCCCCTACTATCAGTCTCTTACTAACCTACTGTAATCGGCAATGTTCCTAAACGTTTCTGGGCATCCACATTGTCGAACACGTGCAGGCTTTCAACTTTGTAGCTTAAAAAATGTAAAAGATTCTCACGAAAGACCGAGATTACCATCGGCGAGATGTCAGATTCACAAGATGACGTTTTTGATAATATCGTAGAGGAGGAAGGTATTGCATATTTTTAATATATTCATTTATTCACATTATAATATTCATGAATGATAAATATAGACAGGACTCGAGGAGTTTCCTGACGAGTTGCCTGACGCGTTGAACGAGGACGCAATTCTAGTCTATTTAGTCTACACTTGAGTAATTTATTTGAATTGTCTGTTGTGATGTGCTTGATGACATAATAATTCATGCTTTGTAGCATACGCACATGACGACCGGTGCCGTGTTTGTGGCGGAGAAGTTGGAGATGCACATCAATGCAGAATATGTAAAGAGAATGTGCATCTAATCTGCGGTGTGCCAGACAAGGATAGCAAGGAAGGATATGGCCAGAAACTTACCTGCTCATGCTGTTTAAATTCTAAAGGTATTACTCTGATACAATCGTTCAGAAATGAAGTCAAAGATAAAACAGTTTTAATATTTTAAAATTATATTTTATAATTCCACAAATAACTAATAACTTAATAATGCAATGTTACCTATTCTGGCTATCTGGCAGACTGCTATGAATTATATTATGCTATGAAATATAGCCATATATATGAAATATATGGCTATAGCCTATATATAAGAGTACAAACTGAAAAATACAGACCCTAACGGCCTAACCTTGAACTGCAGGCGCAACAGTGCAACTAGCAACCCGCAACCCTCAGTTACATTATGGTTATAAGTCTGATCCTAGCAGCTAAAGGTCTCTTACACGTATGTTATCTTATTAGTTGACACCATGCTACTATGCAAACACTTTTGCTATTTTAAATGTTCACTAATCAGTAAATTTTTTATTTTTTATTTTCACAGGTGATGAACTACCAACTCCTGTTACCAATGTGAATAAGAGGCCAGATCCCTGGTCAGCATTCAAAAGAGGGCCTACTGGTATGGGAAAGGACGTAAAAAAATTTAAAGCAGCCACTCCTCCTAGTACCACCGCTAAAGACAAGGCAGACCCACATATTTGTCTGAAGCGTGGAAGTGAAATTTCTAGGGGAAGAGAATTTAACAAGAAACGGCATTGGTCACAAAAGCACAACAGTGAACCAGAACATGGTTATAAGCAGCATATAGTGCCTAAAAACCACGAACTGGCACAAAATCGTTTGAGAGAAATGGCAGATGGCAGTGCACAGTTGAATGAAATAACATGTAAAAAAGGACAGCAAACAGACAAGATTGAGGACACTGCTTTTCCTTTACCTAGACCTAAACCTGACCTGCAAGTCAATACAAACCCAAAACCTATACAGAAATCATTGGCAAATTTTGTGATTAGTGAGGATGAAGTGCCAGGGACACCCATTGAAAAGATGCAAGGTGACATAAATCGTATACTGGTAATGCTGCAATCTCTTACCATTCCTGAAAAGAAAAATGACCTGAAGGAGAACATGGAGTTAATTCTGATGTTAGAGCAATTATCACAGCTGCAAACCTATTGGAGGTTGAACACCCTGGCATCTGTGTTGAAATTCTTGACGATGGTTGTAAAGTTACATGCTACCCATGTCAACAATTTTATTTGTCTCGTCCAAAGAAGATGTAAGTATCTTCTGATCAGTTAACAACTGACTGTACAGTTTACTAAGTTTATTAAACTTAAAAACCACAGTAAGTACCATTTTATTCATACGTATACTATTATTGCTCCTAGCCTTCTGTTCTTTGGTGCCTACAGTAGACAAGAGTGGCTACCAACACTGTGTGGTAATGTTTTTGCATGTCCATAACCTTACAAGAGTTTTCTTTTGTTTCAATAATTAAGGCAAATAACACTAGGTTCATGGGCTGGAGGGTTGGTTTATGAAAAGGAGAAAACAGAAGCCTTGATGACTGGAGGGAATCAGCAGTGGTATAGCTTGAAAAAGATGATAATAGAGCATGTGGGGTGCAGTTCAATCCGTAGCAGTGGTCAAGAGCATTACAAACCAAGCAGTATATATTAACTGAGAATAATAAGAAGAAAAGGATCATGGACATCAACACCAATCTTGTAAGTGCTGCTATTCAAGTGTGCAAAATGAAATCTGCTGGAATGGCATATGAAACGATGGTAGGTTTCTTGTCATCCTGTGGTGCAGATGTGGGAAATATTGGGCATGGACGGTAAGATTTAAAACATTGTTTTTAATTTTGCAAAAGTTTAATGAGTAATATAACTTTAGTTTCTGGAATCTGGATCAGACAGACAATCTATTTATTTATTAATTCATCTAAAAACAGATGATGTTTTTATGTAGCTTTATGCCTCCACCTAATTTGCAGGAACCAGTTTCCAGAGATTATCTTGGCTGCTTATCATTATGCTTTAACTCAAACGAATAATTATCTGAAAGAGCCATTGGAATCAACTGGTCTTCGTCCACACATATCTCTGGCAGTCGATAAGTCTACTCCCCACAGAGATACCAACCATGCAGTTATGATCCTGTTACCTTTCAAAGGAAAGCAAGCTGCAGTGCCCATAGATGCTCCAATAGTATATTCAGTCGCAGAAAGAACAGCTGACATTGAGGGGGGAGATGGTGAAGACCTAGCCAAACAAGTGACAGATGTCCTGAAGAAGAAGCTGGATTTTGATGAAAACGACATGCATTATGTGAGAGGTACAGTATGCCACCTGTAGTAAATAAACATACAGTAAGCCTTAGTGGTAATGAATTGGGTGTCTGTGAAAAGTAGTCTTGAATACACATCATACTGTAGAAAAAAATGTTTGAACCTGAAACGTTTTTTTGTGAGTGTTTGCCTTCAAAATTTGTCACTTCAATTCAATTTTTTTCACTTTTCTGTATGTACTGTAGCTGTTCATGCTGACGGGCAGTACCAGTCGAGTACGTTCCAAAATGGACTTCTTTTTCCTAACTCCATGGGACGTATCTCACTGGATGGATCTAGCGATGGTCGATTTACGTGAAAAGGATATCTCGTCCTCTTTTATGAAGCGCCTAATAAAGAGAGCTAACAAGTTCCACACAATGTTTCATCGTGGTCGTGGTCATGTGGAATACAAAGGACTGGCATGATCTTTGGGTTTAAAAGCACTCGAGACTGTCACATTTTCGACAACCCGTTTTTTTAGTTCCTCCTATGAGCAGTGGGAGAAGATTTACATCAGTTTCGTAGCCTTAATGAAAAGTTTTATGGCATATCGAGAGGACAAAGATGACGAAGAAGAAGAAGAAACAAAGTACCAGGTTACAAAATGCATTTATTAAATTTAGATAGATTATAATATAAAAACACGCGATGGTTTAAAATTGTGAAACGCGATATATAATTAATAAGCCATTAGAGCAATACTTGAATACGTGTATGCATTTTGAAGATGTAAAATTTATGTATATTCTTGCAATCTCGTTTTAGGTACGTGGGCAAGACTTCGTTATCGACTTGTGTGGAATGCTTGATATCCTGAAGCATGTGGTTTCTTTGATGATACGAAGCCAAGCCATCAATGTAGCACCTTGGAAAATTATTGCATGGTACACTCGACTAAATGACGTTTTAGAGAAATGTGAAGACAATTTGAAGGACGTCGAGGCAGGAGATATGCTATCGAAAGATTTATTTCCGAAGCTATCAAAGCATTGGAAGGAGCTGGTTCCCAACAAGGATGCCGAAGAAAATGGCGATGACGAGGACGATGAAGTAGACCCGGGTACTTTCCAGGTACTATTACTACACTATCCTTATTACAAAATATAAATAAGTAATGACTAATGATTACTGTATATTGGAGGGATTCTACAGTGTAGTGGCGATTGTGGAGGGATTCTACAGTGTAGTGGCTGCGCACAAGAAAAACGGAGACCAAGGAAACACCACCTTAGTACAGAGAGCTGGCCCTAAAACAATGAGAAAAATAGCTTCTCTCTATACTGATGGGGACAAAAGCCATGGTCTATCAAAACACCGCTTGCCTTTATTCGTTGATGCTCGGGAACGAGCAGCAAGAAGGCATAGCACAAGTAAAGTCGTCGACCGACTAAGAAGGGAGAGTGTCAGATGTCCCCATGTAGTTGTTCAGGATGAAATATGAAGTTATGAACCGTGATGCACAAACGTAATTTCTTTACTAGAGTATAAACTTAACTGCATGTGAACCATTTTTAGAGTATCTTACACAGCTCGTATATATAAAATAGAAGTAGACTGTATAAAAGTAGCTGCTACTCTCTACAGCTTGGCCTACCTTTGCACACTATATACTTCATAGTGCATCGTTGTAAAATGTATAAATTAACTGTTTTTGTGCAAGGGTAATAACTGTACTTTAATCCGTGACGTCACAACAAGAAACTCAGGTGCGTGTTAAGGTTCGGGAAATATTGCGCAATATATTTTGGTGCGCTAACAAAGATGATTTCGATAATCTCGGGTGCGCTGCTGCCCAACTCTGCAGTCTGGGATGTAAGCATACC